TTTCTGAATTTCTCCCAGTATTTTGTTTCAATTAAATTCTGAAATGAGCGCATTTGTCATTTGCATTATACATAGCATTATGCAAACAAAACATATATTAAATTTAAATAAATATTAATTGGAAATATTAATTATTGAAAAAATTCAACCATTTGCTATTGCGCATCTTCGTTTTATCTTATGAGAATACCTAAAAAAGTCTACGTCAATCCGTTGAAAACGTTAAATAGCATGACACCTTATGAATACACCTAAAAAAGTCTACGTCAATCCGTTGAAAACGTTAAATAGCATGACACCTTATGAATACACTTAAAAAAGTCTACGTCAATCCGTTGAAAACGTTAAATAGCATGACACCTTATGAATACACCTAAAAAAGTCTACGTCAATCCGTTGAAAACGTTAAATAGCATGACACCTTATGAATACACTTAAAAAAGTCTACGTCAATCCGTTGAAAACGTTAAATAGCATGACATCCTTATGAATACACCTAAAAAAGTCTACGTCAATCCGTTGAAAACGTTAAATAGCATGACACCTTATGAATATACTTAAAAAGTCGTCAATCCGTTGAAAACGTTAAATAGCATGACACCTTATGAATACACCTAAAAAAAGTCTACGTCAATCCGTTGAAAACGTTAAATAGCATGACACCTTATGAATACACCTAAAAAAAGTCTACGTCAATCCGTTGAAAACGTTAAATATGACACCTATGAATATACTTAAAAAAGTCTAAATCCGTTGAAAACGTTAAATAGCATGTTATGAATACACCTAAAAAAGTCTACGTCAACCGTTGAAAACGTTAAATAGCATGACACCTTATGAATACGTCTACGTCAATCCGTTGAAAACGTTAAATAGCATCACCTTATGAATATACTTAAAAAAGTCTACGTCAATCCGTTGAAAACGTTAAATAGCATCACCTTATGAATACACCTAAATCTACGTCAATCCGTTGAAAACGTTAAATAGCATGACACCTTATGAATACACCTAAAAAGTCTACGTCAATCGTTGAAAACGTTAAATAGCATGACACCTTATGAATATACTTAAAAAAGTCTACGTCAATAAAACGTTAAATAGCATGACACCTATGAATATACTTAAAAAGTCTACGTCAATCCGTTGAAAACGTTAAATAGCATGACATTTATGAATACACCTAAAAAAGTCTACGTCAATCCGTTGAAAACGTTAAATAATTTATGAATACACCTAAAAAGTGTCAATCCGTTGAAAAGTTAAATAGCATTTATGAATATACTTAAAAAGTCTACGTCAATCCGTTGATTAAATAGCATGACATTATGAATTAAAAAGTCTACGTCAATCCGTTGAAAACGTTAAATATTTATGAATACACCTAAAAAGTCTTCAATTTGAAAACGTTAAATAGCATGACATTATGAATATACTTAAAAAGTCTACGTCAATCCGTTGAAAACGTTAAATAGCATTTATGAATACACCTAAAAAGTCTAAATTTGAAAACGTTAAATAGCATGACATTATGAATACACCTAAAAAGTCTACGTCAATCGTTGAAAACGTTAAACATGACATCTTCTTCAATCCGTTGAAAACGTTAAATAAAATGACACCTTATGAATTAAAAACTACGTCAATCCGTTGAAATTAAATAGCATGACACCTTATGAATATACTTAAACGTCAATCAAAATTAAATAGCATTTATGAATATACTTAAAAATCTAAATCCGTTGAAAACGTTAATATGACAATGAATTAAAAAACTATGTCAAAAAATTAAATAGCATGACACCTTATGAATACACCTAAAGTCTACGTCAATCCGTTGAAAACGTTAAATAGATGACATTATGAATACACCTAAAAAGTCTACGTCAATCCGTTGAAAACGTTAAATAGTATGACACCTTATGAATACACCTAAAAAAAGTCTACGTCAATCCGTTGAAAACGTTAAATAGCATGACACCTTATGAATACACCTAAAAAAAGTCTACGTCAATCCGTTGAAAACGTTAAATCACCTTATGAATATCGTCAATCCGTTGAAAACGTTAAATCACCTTATGAATACACCTAAAAAGTCTACGTCAATCCGTTGAAAACGTTAAATAGTATGACACCTTATGAATATAAAAAAGTCTACGTCAATCCGTTGAAAACGTTAAATAGTATGACACCTTATGAATACACCTAAAAAAGTCTACGTCAATCCGTTGAAAACGTTAAATAGCATGACACCTTGAATATACTTAAAGTCTACGTCAATCCGTTGAAAGCGTTAAATAGCATGACACCTTATGAATACACCTAAAAAATCTACGTCAATCCGTTGAAAACGTTAAATAGTATGACACCTTATGAATACACCTAAAAAGTCTACGTCAATCCGTTGAAAACGTTAAATAGTATGACACCTTATGAATACACCTAAAAAGTCTACGTCAATCCGTTGAAAACGTTAAATAGCATGACACCTTATGAATATACTTAAAAAAGTCTACGTCAATCCGTTGAAAACGTTAAATAGCATGATTATGAATACACCTAAAAAGTCTACGTCAATCCGTTGAAAACGTTAAATAGCATGACACCTTATGAATACACCTAAAAAAAGTCTACGTCAATCCGTTGAAAACGTTAAATAGTATGACACCTTATGAATACACCTAAAAAAAGTCTACGTCAATCCGTTGAAAACGTTAAATAGCATGACACCTTATGAATATACTTAAAAAAGTCTACGTCAATCCGTTGAAAGCGTTAAATAGCATGACACCTTATGAATACACCTAAAAAAGTCTACGTCAATCCGTTGAAAACGTTAAATAGTATGACACCTTATGAATACACCTAAAAAAAGTCTACGTCAATCCGTTGAAAACGTTAAATAGTATGACACCTTATGAATACACCTAAAAAAGTCTACGTCAATCCGTTGAAAACGTTAAATAGTATGACACCTTATGAATACACCTAAAAAAAGTCTACGTCAATCCGTTGAAAACGTTAAATAGCATGACACCTTATGAATATACTTAAAAACCAAACAGTCTACGTCAATCCGTTGAAAACGTTAAATAGCATGACACCTTATGAATACACCTAAAAAAGTCTACGTCAATCCGTTGAAAACGTTAAATAGCATGACACCTTATGAATACACCTAAAAAAGTCTACGTCAATCCGTTGAAAACGTTAAATAGTATGACACCTTATGAATACACCTAAAAAAGTCTACGTCAATCCGTTGAAAACGTTAAATAGCATGACACCTTATGAATATACTTAAAAAAGTCTACGTCAATCCGTTGAAAACGTTAAATAGCATGACACCTTATGAATACACCTAAAAAAGTCTACGTCAATCCGTTGAAAACGTTAAATAGTATGACACCTTATGAATACACCTAAAAAAGTCTACGTCAATCCGTTGAAAACGTTAAATAGCATGACACCTTATGAATACACCTAAAAAAAGTCTACGTCAATCCGTTGAAAACGTTAAATAGTATGACACCTTATGAATACACCTAAAAAAAGTCTACGTCAATCCGTTGAAAACGTTAAATAGCATGACACCTTATGAATATACTTAAAAAAGTCTACGTCAATCCGTTGAAAGCGTTAAATAGCATGACACCTTATGAATACACCTAAAAAAGTCTACGTCAATCCGTTAAAAAAACGTCAGATGGCATAGCAGGTCGTAAAAAAAATCGTCGTAATAAAATAAAACATTCGTCGTTTCTATTTGATCCAATCAGAATCTAATGACAGTCACATTAAGATAGCATCCAGATTACTGATTTAAATCGATTTGAATTTAAATCAAATTGGTAAGTCCAATATGATCATTGATTTTCAGTGGAATTTTCATTCTACTATTAATAAAATTTTTGGAGCAATTAAAACTTAAAACAGAAATGATTGCTTAACATCACTTATATAATGCTAGCATTCAAAATAAATACAAGTAAATATGCATTAATGGAATATTTGTAATTACAATAATTATCTGAAATGAATGACATTCTTGCATGATTTCACATTGAGAAGCAACTTGCATTCGCGCAATTTGCATTCAGTGCAGTTTGCATTCGTGCATGCCTAGCATGCAATCATAAAAACACCAAAAACAAAATAATTGAATGCGAATTTATATTTTTATTTATTTTTATGTGCAATTTATGTTTGACATTTTTTTTTTCGATCCTATGTTTGACCATTCTTATGATAAATTTCACTTTAGCAAAAATTGTTTACAATTGTTAGATCAGAAATTAATTGATGCATTATAGTTAAATTTACACACTCTTCTTTCATATCCAAATTTTTGAAATTTCCATATTAAAAACTATCAAAATTCATTCTTGAAAATTTAAATTTTTGAAATCTCATTTGTGTTTAACGATGAAATAAAAAAAAGATAATATTTGATGAATGAGAAAAAAATTTTTTTTCTACTTTTTAAAACAATCAAATAAGCAATTGAATTATCAAAATATCGTTCAAAAGAAATTAACAAGTAGTCGTGAAATTTACTAAAATGAAAAAACCCTCTACTAATAGCTATGATTTCGATAGATTAAAAATTATTGTCTTCTAATTGCTCAATTTTTTTTTTTAAAAAAATATCAGATGTAACGGAATACTTCTAAAATATGCAATTAATCTCATTAAACTTTTAAATATTTTGACTTTTTGAATTTATGAATTTTTAAAATTCAAATATTCGACATAAACAATTACTCTTTTTTGTTTGTCTTCACTTTCTCACTTTATTAGTAATCATTATAAAAAAACTGTTTAGATATATGAAAGCAAATTTGAAATGATATTGAAAATCAAATATATTTTTACTGATTATTTATCAAATTTAAAAAGAAAAACATAAAATAAAATAGAACAATGCGAAGAATTATTAACCCAATAATATAAACAAAATTTCTAAGCAAAAAAAAAATAAATAAATAATATTTAATATTCTAAAAAAAACAATTTCGGCCACATTGTCCAGTTAACAAAATAGTTTCTGAGCGTTGAACAATAAAAAATAAAAATGGTTGATCAGCAGTGAATGTTATACAATTTTCACATGTAATATCAGTGGATTTAAATTCAGATATTGCATTAGTTTCCACTCCTTTTTCATTCATCTGTAAAATTTTAATGGTAAAAGCAAAAATATATAGATAGTAAAATAGCTATCTCTTTGATTTTTAAAATTACTTTTAAAATAAAAATTACTTTAAATTATTTTTTAAAAAAATTTTCTTTTTTCATTCATCTGTAAAATTTTAATGGTAAAAGCAAAAATATATAGATAGTAAAATCACTATCTCTTTGATTTTTAAAATTACTTTAAAAAAAAGGTAATTAAAATAAAAATTTAAATTGTCTTTTAAAAAAATTTTCTTTTTTCGTTCATCTGTAAAATTTTAATGGTAAAAGCAAAAATATATAGATAGTAAAATAACTATCTCTTTGATTTTTAAAATTACTTTTAAAAAAAGGTAATTAAAATAAAAATTACTTTAAATTATTTTTTAAAAAAATTTTCTTTTTTCGTTCATCTGTAAAATTTTAATGGTAAAAGCAAAAATATATAGATAGTAAAATCACTATCTCTTTGATTTTTAAAATTACTTTAATAAAAAAGGTAATTAAAATAAAAATTACTTTAAATTATTTTTTAAAAAAATTTTCTTTTTTCGTTCATCTGTAAAATTTTAATGGTAAAAGCAGAAATAAATAAATAGTAAAAATAACTATTTCTTTGATTTTTAAAATTACTTTAAAAAAGTTTATTAAAATAAAAATTGCTTTAAATTATTTTTTTTTAAAAAAAAAAAGAAATAATATTTATGGTTAAACCTGAAATGTTGCTTTATGTATAATATTGGTAATAGAGATTGGATCATCACTAATTCCTTTGAAGTTAGCATTTTCATTGAAAATATCCGCAATGCCAAGTTTTCTTAACATATCTTCCATGTTTATTTCTTGTTCCAATTCAAATATTGGTAATGTTAACTTAAAAAAAAAAATAAATAAATAAATAAAAATGAAAACAAATTTAATTTGTATTTTATTCTAAAAAATTATTTACTAATTTTTGCAGAAATTGAAATAGAGCAGTTGTAATTATAAAGTGAAATATATTTATATTAATTAAAAAGAATCATTTTTAGTTTAAATTATTTGATTTAAATTTATCCCAGTTCTACCAGAGTGTTTGCTTTATAAACACTCATTTTGATAATTTAAAATTAATCATAGCAGAATAAAAGATAAACAATGAATGAAGGATTATTTGCTTATTAGAACAAATAATTTTTTAAATTTTCTTCAAAAATAATTTATATTAATTTAATTTTGTTTTTTTTTAAAAAAACAATTTTACAAATTTACCATAATTTTAGCTGGTACAGAATGTTTGATGTAATGATTTAAATTTTTTCCTGTCATTTTTTTGCGAACATTTTGTAAATCGAAACGAATTCTTGGAAGTATAATTATCATTTCTATTTCATTATTAATAAATGGAACTTTAACAATTCGAACAAAAAAATCTTCATAATATGATAATTCTTCTACTAATAGCATCATTGGTACCTAAAAAAAAAATTAGAAATTAAAATGATGGATGAGAGTAATTCATTTAATATGATAATTAATTAAAAAAATAAATAAACAATTAATAAAAAAAAAAAAAGAAATTCTAATTATAATATTTAAGGAAATAATAATTACTCTATGATGATTATTGTGAGAAATATGAAATGTTTTTTTCAAACTTTTTCCACTATAAAATTGCTTCTTCCAAAGAGCATTGAAATAAATTGTATTCAATAATAGCATTTTAGTTTCTGAATTAATTTTTGCCGTTACCATAAGTTTTTTTACTTTATTGTTTGTATGTTTTGAAGCCCAATTATTAATTTCCTAAAAAGAAAAAAGAAAAAAAATATATTATTATCATTTACAATCATATAGATCAGATAAATTAAAATAAATTTTTAAGTCAATAAGTTAATTTATCAAAATTTTTAAGTCAATAAGTTAATTTATCAAAATTTTTAAGTCAATAAGTTAATTTATCAAAATTTTTAAGTCAATAAGTTAATTTATCAAAATTTTTAAGTCAATAAGTTAATTTATCAAAATTTTTAAGTCAATAAGTTAATTTATCAAAATTTTAAGTCAATAAGTTAATTTATCAAAATTTTTAAGTCAATAAGTTAATTTAAAATATTAGTAATTAAAAAAAGTTCTTAAAATATTAGTAATTAAAATTAATAATTCTAAAAATTGATCCCTTATAATTAATCATTGATTATACCTGAGTAAGTTGACCAATTTGTTCATCATTAAATTTGTATAATGCTTCACTGAAATAAAATTGAAGTAAGTAAGAAAAGCTTGGCTTTATGGAAAATTCCTGTCGTACATATAAACGATTTGCTATATTCAATATATAATTGTTATTCTTTTTATCATCGAAATTTTTTAATAAATTACGAATTGTTTCTGAAAGATTGAAATTATTTAAATATTTTCTTCCATTGTTTACTAAAAAATTAAAATTAATTAAATATTTTTTTCCATTGTTTCTAAAATATTGAAATTATCTATTTTTTTTCCATTGCTTCTGAAAAATTAAAATTGATCAAATATTTTCTTTCGTTGCTTCTGAAAAATTAAAATTAATTAAATATCATTGTTATTTATTAATGAAATTTATCAATTAAAACATCTATCAATTGTTAACAACAAGTAAAATATATTATTAATTTATATTATGGAATAAATTTTATTAATTTCTAAAATAATAAAATAAATTTTCCTCTTCCAAACACTTTGCTCAATTCTTGTTTAGTTTTGCCTCCCGCTCCAAGGTAAATCATAAAAATTGCAGTTGATACAGAAGCAGGTGATATAATCTCTGTTCCACCATTTCGTCCTATTTCTTTCATCAAATTAACAGCAAAATTAAAATGCACATAATCTGTTGAAGAACTGCAAAAAACAAAAAAATTTATTTAAAAAAAAAAAAAGAAAATAAAAGCAAAAATAAAAAAAATGAAAAGAAGTATTGATTGTCTAAAAATTTAAAATTTTTTAACATACATTTCTCGAAATAAAAATACAAATTGAGCATTCAAAAACAAAAATAATACAGCAATGATTGTTTGTTTCATTCTAAAATATCAATGAAATTATCAAAAGATTAAAATAATCATTTAAATATGAAAATACTATCATAATAAAAATGAATTAATTTATCACTAAAATAATTTTGTAACAACCAATTTGAGTTTTTTTTTTTATATTTAAAATTACATTTAAAAATTGAAATACATTGTAGAAATTCTCGTCTACAGCAACTTTTTATAGTTGTTTCTAAGTTTATTTACTTATTTATTTATTTGAATGGAACGGATCATAATAGCTTAAACAAAATAAATATTAATTTATAATAGAAAATTGATGTTTGTTGGATTTTTTATGAGTTCTTTAATAATTTTTGTTTTTGATTTCTTTTTTTCTTTTCAAAATATGCAAACAGATTCTATGGATTTTATTTGTTTTTAATGCCTTTTTTTTTGTTATTTTAGATTAAAGAAGCATTTTTTTTTTGATCTTTTCTCTGAAATACACCGAAATTATCATTTTTAATGTGCAAAGTTATCACTTGAGAATAATAATTTACGGTCGAGCAATCTTATCATTTCTTATCAGATGATAACAGAAAGCTTTGTAGTGATTTCCAATTTATCTATCTGGAATTGATCATAATACTTTAAATGAATGAAATTGGTTATTAACTGGTAAAGAGTCAAGGTAAATTATATTTATATGAATCAATTATAGTTTCTGAGCATTAATTGATCTAAATATTTGAGTAATTTGATGCAAATATTGAATCAGATCAAATATTAATTCAAATATTATTGATAATCGATGATGACGGCTGAAGATCGTTGCTCTGAACACAAAAAAGAATTAATGTGTGAATAATTTTACGCAAAATCTAGCGTTCAGAAGAAGTAAGTTATATTTCAATTGAAATATTAAAAATGAATTAAAAGGAATTGAATTTATTAGTTTCATTTTTTATTCTCGTTAGAAATTTAATTTTTAAATTATACAGTTGTGATATCGTAAAATTAAATTATAATAAATTTTTCACCTCAAGAAACTTTTGAATTGTCTTTTTGAATAAAGAAAAAATAGAAAAAAATTGAATAAAAATTAAAAGCTAAAAAAGTGTTCAAATCAAAACTTTAAGATTATTTAGCTCAAAATTTCTCAAAAAAATCACTCATTGTTTTTTTTTTTTTTCAAAATTTTTCTTACTTCTATTTGACATATAAAATTATTAAATCAGAAGCAAAAAAAAAAAAGAATTATAATAGAAACCACTTGCTGTAAACTATCATCAATTTTTTTCAAATTTAGAAATTACTAATATGATGCATTGCTATTTATTTGTTTCACATCAAACATCAATTCAAGGATTATGGATTGTATTCCGAGCACCGAGAATTTAATTTATAATTTCAAATATAAAAGAGTTAATCCGAAAGATTGATTGAATACGATTTTATCATAAAAACAAAATTATGAATGCAAGCTGGGAAAATAAATAACAAGTTATTTAATCATTAAATATAAATTCATTTTATCTTTCTTTTAAATTATATATTCATTTATTTTACCGTTCATTTATTTATCAAAAAAATGCAAATTTTATTTTTTACACTATTTTATTCTCGTAGAGAAGAAGTAATATTGTGTGAAATTATTGAAGTAAATTCTTCAGATGAACACTATCAGATCAAAATTTGCGATTTTAAGTAAATTCTTCAGATAAACATTGTCAGATCAAAATTTGCGATTTTAAGTAAATTCTTCAGATAAACATTGTCAGATCAAATTTTGCGATTTTAAGTAAATTCTTCAGATAAACATTGTCAGATCAAATTTTGCGATTTTAAGTAAATTCTTCAGATAAACATTGTCAGATCAAATTTTGCGATTTTAAGTAAATTCTTCAGATAAACATTGTCAGATCAAAATTTGCGATTTTAAGTAAATTCTTCAGATAAACATTGTCAGATCAAAATTTGCGATTTTAAGTAAATTCTTCAGATAAACATTGTCAGATCAAATTTTGCGATTTTAAGTAAATTCTTCAGATAAACATTGTCAGATCAAAATTTGCGATTTTAAGTAAATTCTTCAGATAAACATTGTCAGATCAAAATTTGCGATTTTAAGTAAATTCTTCAGATAAACATTGTCAGATCAAATTTTGCGATTTTAAGTAAATTCTTCAGATAAACATTGTCAGATCAAATTTTGCGATTTTAAGTAAATTCTTCAGATAAACATTGTCAGATCAAATTTTGCGATTTTAAGTAAATTCTTCAGATAAACATTGTCAGATCAAATTTTGCGAGTTTAAGTAAATTCTTCAGATAAACATTGTCAGATCAAATTTTGCGATTTTAAGTAAATTCTTCAGATAAACATTGTCAGATCAAATTTTGCGATTTTAAGTAAATTCTTCAGATAAACATTGTCAGATCAAATTTTGCGATTTTAAGTAAATTCTTCAGATAAACATTGTCAGATCAAATTTTGCGATTTTAAGTAAATTCTTCAGATAAACATTGTCAGATCAAATTTTGCGATTTTAAGTAAATTCTTCAGATAAACATTGTCAGATCAAATTTTGCGATTTTAAGTAAATTCTTCAGATAAACATTGTCAGATCAAATTTTGCGATTTTAAGTAAATTCTTCAGATAAACATTGTCAGATCAAAATTTGCGATTTTAAGTAAATTCTTCAGATAAACATTGTCAGATCAAAATTTGCGATTTTAAGTAAATTCTTCAGATAAACATTGTCAGATCAAAATTTGCGATTTTAAGTAAATTCTTCAGATAAACATTGTCAGATCAAAATTTGCGATTTTAAGTAAATTCTTCAGATAAACATTGTCAGATCAAAATTTGCGATTTTAAGTAAATTCTTCAGATAAACATTGTCAGATCAAAATTTGCGATTTTAAGTAAATTCTTCAGATAAACATTGTCAGATCAAAATTTGCGATTTTAAGTAAATTCTTCAGATAAACATTGTCAGATCAAAATTTGCGATTTTAAGTAAATTCTTCAGATAAACATTGTCAGATCAAATTTTGCGATTTTAAGTAAATTCTTCAGATAAACATTGTCAGATCAAATTTTGCGATTTTAAGTAAATTCTTCAGATAAACATTGTCAGATCAAATTTTGCGATTTTAAGTAAATTCTTCAGATAAACATTGTCAGATCAAAATTTGCGATTTTAAGTAAATTCTTCAGATAAACATTGTCAGATCAAATTTTGCGATTTTAAGTAAATTCTTCAGATAAACATTGTCAGATCAAATTTTGCGATTTTAAGTAAATTCTTCAGATAAACATTGTCAGATCAAATTTTGCGATTTTAAGTAAATTCTTCAGATAAACATTGTCAGATCAAATTTTGCGATTTTAAGTAAATTCTTCAGATAAACATTGTCAGATCAAATTTTGCGATTTTAAGTAAATTCTT